TTTTTTTGTAATTTGTGATCAATTGTTGAAGTTGAAGTGGCATTTTGGACAAAAAGAGCCTTTTAACTCATCTCAAAGCCGGCGCCAGACGAGATGGACATAAGCAGCTTCGCGCGGAGCACCTTGTACGATGAGTAGGTGGGCAGCTTGAGCGTATTAAAGCACGTCGAGGAGCTAGGCAGCAGCTCGTCGTCGCTTCGGATAGGGATCTTCTGTACGCAAAACTGGGGTGTGAGCGAGGCGAACCCAAGCGATGGAGCGCGCTGGCAGCTCGTGGTGAAGCGTAAGAACGCAGCTTGCTCGGAAGGCGTGAAACTCGCCAGCGCCTGCCACAGCCACGCTACGCGTTTGTCCAACGCGTAATAGCCGCCGGCGTATCGAGAGTTGGCCTTGAGATCATCGATGTCGATCTTGCCACTCTTGCCTGAAATGAGCACTTGTAATTCAGGTTCATTGAACATCTGCAGCCAGCGCGGGTCAATGAGATCGGACAGCCCCATCCGAAAGGCTGTGCACTGCTCACGGATCTGCGTGTTGAGATAGTAATTCGCGACAAGATGAATGTACCGCGTTTTGTTTCGATTGGTCACGGGAACATTACCACCGCCAGGAATGATCTCGACCTCCTTTTGCTCGCCAAATACCTCCTGAACAACTGTGTGCGTTAAACCAAGATCTTCTACATCTCCCTCATAAGACTTCAGGAACATCAGATTCTGTACAGGAAGAGAAATATTAGCGTGGCGGTCTATTGCTGAGCTGTATCGCAGCTTAACATACCTTGTAAATTTCGGGATCCAGAGATGGCAGTTCGTTAAGCTGGTTGAACGAATGCAAAAGCTTCGAGAGGAAGAAGTGCGCAAACTTCGGTTGAACCACAATTCCTTCATACAGAGCTTTTCCCAGGATCCGACCGACGAACTGGAACATCGTCAAGTGGTCGCTCTCGCGCGAAAAATGACTTGAAGCGGAATTCGGATTGGGATACAGCAGCTGATCGTGGGTCGTAAGGAAGAGTCCATACTGGAGATCAAACGCCAGCGTCGACAAGTCTAACCAAAACTCTTTGAAGAGACCACCAGCATCGATACCCACTTCTTCGCGTCCAGCAGAGTTCACAAACACCACGTTAATACGCTTTTTCAAGTTCGTTCGGATTGAGTTCAGCTTCCTCAAACCGTCTTCCAGAATAGCGCCACGGTGGATCCGGATACGGTACACCGAGCAGCTTTCATTCTGGTGGATTTCCTTGTCGGCCTTGACGAGTCGTTGGAATAATTTGACCCGGTCACTAAAAGGTACCAGATATGGCATCGATTGGATTAGCTTGTTGGCTCGAGGTGTGCCCAGCAAAACCTCTTCAATCAATTGGTTGCTATCCAACTCGGCAATGATCCTGCAATGAGTAGACGTACACAGGAATTAGTTATCATCGCGAAAGACGTTGAATTAGCAGCAGCGTACCAGCTCGAGACATTGCAAAAAGGCTGACGAGAACACCGATTATAGAGAACTCGCATCAAACGAGTCGCCATTTCCACGACAAACATGCCAAACGCAACGGATTCAGAAGATGGAGCGAGATTGGCGTAATTCCAATACGCTTCATGAAGCGCATGCTTCAGACTCACTACAATCCGCTCGATCTGGCAAAGAGGCAGCGGGTACTCTTGCTCGTACATCTGCACAAGCATGGAACACAGTCAATACAACATCGGCAAAAAGGCATGCCTGTTAAAACAATGCAGAGCTCACCTCTTCGTCATCCATAACAACCAGTAGATGTTCGTATAACATACAAAACAGCACCAACATGCACATATACGGGTCTGAACTGCGCGCATGAATCAAGTCCACATTCTGCCATGTATCGCGCCGTTAGCCAGTTAAAGATCATTAAAACACCAACGTTGGCACTAGCTTTACCTTAGCGAAGTCTTCAAAATTTCTGATGTCTTGCAGTACACACCACAGCATTCGAACCAGAGACACGTTCTGCGTTTCATCTTCTTCAGTCTCGACAATCTCCACATGATAGAACGCCAATGTGTTGAGTAAGCGCATTGCGTAGGACTGCCGCTTTCCACCATCATTTCCCCACCGAAACAGGAATGTCCCGCACAAGCATGACAGTGCCTTAATGTTATCCAGCACGAAAGGTTCCGAGCTTTCGTACAGCTTCTTCGTTGCTGTACGCTGAACTGTTGAGCTTCTTGATTTTCTCTTATCATCAACGCCGTTTGCAGCAATTTGACGCGCTTGTCTGGAAGTATTCTGCAACTGAG